GTGAAAGAGAAGTAGATAAGACGTTTTCGTTTGAAAAGAACGGGAAAATTAAAATAATGAGTGAAAAGAAATAATTTGATTTTTTATACCCAATGCCTTTTTGATGAGTTTTTTTTTTTCAAACGGCTGCTATATCAAATTTGGTTATAAGAACAGAATGTATATCAACGAAAATATTAAATAAAAATTAAAAAAGCAACAAAAAATTATAGTTATTCTAAGCAAGAAATACCGACTATTTTTGCATTTTTTAAAAGTAATTTTGATTTGACTGATATTTCTTTTAATATCGAAAGAAAACTGGAAAAGTTCCAAAAAAATCCTGAAAATTCCAGAAAAGTAAGACACAAAAACATTCAAAAAAGCGTCGAAAATATTTCCCAAACACAAAAAAACCGAAATCCAGACAAATAAAACACGTACATATAACCTCGAACAAGTCTCAAAAAAAGCACATAACTCGAACTCCCAAAAAGTTCCGAAAAACTTCGAAAAATTCAATACTAAGAATTCCGAGTAAATGCCGAGAATCTCTTAAGGTAAAACACGAAGTATTCCGAAAAACATAGGAAAATAAATCACAAAATATCCCGAAAAGTGCCGGAAAAAATAAAGAAATGTTTTAAAAAGTTCGAAAAAGTAAAACAGCAAAAATATCGAAAAGTATCGAAAAAATCAAAAAAAAGGTCCCGAGAAATAAAACAAGAGGGCTCCCTAAAAGTGTCAAAAAAAATCAAAAAAAAATGCCTTAAAAAAATAACAAGAAACAACATGAGTATTTATCGCTTGGAATAATAAAAGTTTGCATTTTAAAAAGTCCTATTATAAAATAGAAGAGGAAAAGCGTTACGTCAACTTTTTCACCAGCTCTTTTTGATTACAAAAAACTAAAATTTTTTCAGTCGCTCGATTTTTTTTTTTGAGGTTAGCAAGAAAGTTAGAGAAAGTGTCACAATTCTGATTTCGAATTCAGATTCAGATATGGACTGACTACTTTATTTATGAAGCTCTGTGATCGATGGCGTTCGGCAGGCGTATTCGTGCGACTTCATTCTTTAAATACTCGATCTGCAATTCTCACCAGTCTAATTTCAAGCGCATTTCATATACATACAACGTAAAATTACTAAATACTGTCTGAATTTACCAGGCAGATGTATTTGCTATCGTCGAAGGCTGTCGCCCTTGTAACGGGTTGCAATTTCTGGGGTCCCTCATAAAAAAGTCGAATCTGGTGAAGAATTCCAGAACTTTTCGGAAAACGGATTGCAATTTCTCGGGTAGCCGAACGGTCACTATTTCCTTGGTGTCCCTCAAAAAAAAGTCGAAGCTGGTGAAGAATTGCAGAACTAGTTCGAAAAAAGTTTAGTTTGGGTCACTGGTCATTGCAAAATTCCCAAAAATGAGACTGTATGAGTTAGACAGAGAGCATTAAACCTCGACCTTATTTGGTGATCGGATATCACTACCAATCGGAACTAAAAACAGGGAAATTTTTCTCTACAATCTTTAACAATCGGATCGGGCTTTTCGAAATTCAGCAATAGGTTAAAATCATTGTGACGTTAGAACGGGATTAAGGGTACTTCGCAAGAGGGATGCTTGATAAATAGACTCCCGTGAAATAAAAGTGTCAACCCCTGAGAAATCGATTGTAGACCAGTACAATTATTTAAAAAATGTTTTTTTTCGTAAAATCTTGGTTCGATCGAAAGCTATAGCTGCTGACCAGCATTTTTTTCTGATGAATGTATTAACGATTATTCCTCTTTCTGTATAAAATCCCGCCATTGTAAACGCGCTCTCTGGGTCATGCAGAAATTATCCCCTTTAGATCTCGTGCTTTAATTGCTGCGAAAAACCTAGACATGAACAAAATTTTAGCGCCCTCATAATTAACTATTAATTGCATTGGGTATAAAAATTTCGTGGTTTAAATAAACTCCAAAAAAGGTAAAATTTCTTGTGCCATAATGATTAGTTACTTACGCGGTCGTGATGGTGGCTCTGCCGTTTCCTCCAATATGCGCAATTCGATTTCCAATGACTGTATCTCATCGTAGCCGCGCTGCATCAGTTTCATAATTTTTTTAATGAAACCAACATAATCTGCAAAGTAAAAAAGGAAAGAACAAAAGAATTCTAAAACTTTATATGCACTCGAAAACACAAGACTCTCGCTAATTCAATCACTTCCTCACTCACTCACCATCACTCCCGCACACAGACCCCCCCAAACTCACACACTTCACTCACTTACCTCTTGGAAAATCTTTCGGACTGACCAACTCCTTGAAGAAGTCCTGTGCAATTTGTGCCTGCTTCTCGTCGTTGCGCAACCATTGCCGGAACCAGAAACGCAGCGTTCGTGATTCTTGTGAATGTTTGCCTGTATTGGCACTCACGAGGAAAACACGAAACTCCAACGACAGCTGTGCTGGTATACTTTGACTTTTCTGTCCGCTAACTGTATCCTTATTGATTATGATGCCTGTATGATCTCCACCAGCAACATGGACCCGCTCATTTATCTCATCGACCAATTTGCGTTCGATCAGTATAACAGTACTATTGGCTGTTTTGCCTTTGGGCGTCATTACGACTTGCTCTTGATCAGTGCGCGGTGGCGTGTGACACGACCTACGGCCATTGACGTTCTGATTGTGGCGCAGCAGACTACCCTGATTGTTGTCTGTCAACGAGGATATGCTGCCACTGCGACTGCCAGTAGCGCTGCCATTACCATTTCCGTTGGCATTCGCGAATGTGCCGTTGCCATTTGCTGCATACGTTTCGTATGGTGTGGTACCATTGGCGGTGACGGATTTGTTTGATTTGGGAGGTGGTGGCGGTGGTGCCATTTGTGGATGACTTCTAGCTGACATGATTGGTTGGGTGTGTTTGTCCACCTATGTATGTATTTATATTGATGTTCTGATTTCCCCCCGGTGTTTATTCTATTTATTTGTTTATTTTTGATATTCCACTTGTTTTTGCAACCTTGGCTGAGTTTAATATATTCAAAACTTCGAAAATGCCTCAAACTTTTTGTAGTCTATTGTGTTGACCTGAAATAGAAAGAAATATTGACGATAAGACTTTATGTGGTTGAAAACACTGTGAGAAATTTTATTGCAAAATAAGTGCGTCAGGAATGATTAGCAATATAACTTAAAAAGGTAGGATGCGGTGAAATAGAGGGCATTTGGCATTTTAATACTTGTCGGTAACAACTTCAGACCTCCTAAATAATGCTTTGGACAGCTAAAGGTCCCTCTAGATCAGCATGCGTTGTTTTCTTGAAATATTCGGATTTTAACCGATCGAATGTTCGGAAGACAAGCTACCCAGCTAGCATTTATACTCGTTATTATGAAGATGGGACAACACCGAAACCGGGTTTTCTCCAAAAAAAAAAATATATATATAGAAGGGATAACTGTCTGGCGGCCAAAATATTGATTGTGTCTTGTATTGGAAACATAAAATTATTTGCAGTATTCTGTAACAATGCCCATTTTTAATTGTTTTTCCAATGCATGTATCACTTAAGCCGCTGAAGTAACCTAGTTCCAACTTTGAGGCAGACGGTTAATACATATTGAGTGGGTGACAACGACGGAACAATGTTTATATTCGGCGTCAAAGTTTTAGGCGAAGCAATTCTGTAAAGCAATATCCATGCGAAAAGTTTTGCGGTGGAGTGCAATAAGGCCCGCGTAAATAACGCCCATGGGCTTTATTTCCAAAAAAATAAAAAATAAAGCCCATGAGCGTTATTTCCATTTCGAAGGGGAAATAGCTGGGCTATCATGTCGGCTTTACCCAGCTGCCTGCTCTCTTGCTTCCGACGTGATATAGACAGTTCCTAAATATATAAGAAAATCTAAGCAATCTTTGCTCAAAGATAACACTTTTATTTTTTACGGTGTAGCGCAGAAATATGAATTTCTGCTTTTATGAGTGCATAATTTAAACGTCTACATATATATATTTATGTATATTTGACTATGTCTGTCTCTCCATACATATGTATGTATATATGTACATATGTACCGATATGCAAATTTTCCTTTTTCATATGTTTCTCTTTTGTACGGATATCTATTAAAGACATTCGTGTTCGAAAAATATTCAAAAAGAAAACCAAGAATGGAAAACCATTAAGAAGGAAAAGGAAAAGTTGCTTTAACTCTGATTAATTTCAGTCATAAAATTTTGTCGGATATTTTTGATTTCGTGCGCAAGCTATTAAATGTTGGCGTAGTTGCATACCTACGGTGACCAGATTGCTGTGGACAAAAATTGGGACATTTCTAAAGCAGCGAATCCGAACATACAATTTTGTTTTCAGAATAAAAAGTCATAACATCTTTTAATACAATCTTATTTACAACAAAATAATGAGAAAGAAATTTACACACAATATATACGGTGGCGTGAATATGAATAGGAAAGAAACTTTTTGGCAAGTTTTGGCTTATTTTCTTTGTTTAAAAAAATGCATTGTTTTTTATGAAAATTTATATAGCTTACTATCTAAAAACAAACCATCTAAATCATAATTTTAAAATTTCGACGAATTTTAACAAATGTTGATTCAAATTCTAAACATTTTAATCCGATTTTGTAGAATTGTTTTTTTACAAATGTTGATTCAAATTCTAAACATTTTAATCCGATTTTGTAGAATTGTTTTCAGTATGTAGTTTTGTTGCCCATTCAAATCAAAGCGCAAGTTTGAAGCAGCTTGGACTTACTCTTGACTTTTGCCATTTTTTTGTTCCCGAATTTTCTTCCATACAAAGTATGCTCTAAACTTTTTTGATATGAAGAAGATGAGCAACACCTGTCACAAAAAAAAAAACTCCAAAAATCAACAGTAAGTTCTACTTACTTAGGAAATCTAATTAAAAAGCTCAAAATGTTGATGAAACTTTGTCGAACTTATGCAGATTTCAATTCTACTAAAAAATGCAACCTTCTCTTTGCCCTCTACGTACAAACACTAAGAAGAGGGCGATGGGCAGGCAACTTTTTTGTAGAAACGAAATCGCCATTAGCTAATTTTTGTACATGGTCTTTGTTAGATAACGAGCTTCACGTTCATAAAAAAATAATGAACATTAAATAATCGAAAGGGGAATAGCCAAAAAATGCTAAAATGTCTCTTGCCTATTTATATTTTTGCCACAATATCTACAGTTTAAGTTTTTCATATTCATGAAATGTTTGATAAGCAAACCCAAAATTTTTTAGTGTCGGAAGTCATGCGAAAATGGTTTTATAAGAATAAGTTGAGAATTGGAGTGTTAGAAAAATTTTGAAAACAGCTACCTGAATTACTCGGCCAGATCTACGACCTTTACTAGATCACTTAAAAAGTTCGTTAGATCCTTTTTAGTTTGTAACATCGTGTAATTATAAAAACCTTCCAAAAGTTCAGACAGGAGTGATAGACTGCAATATAGCGAAAGTACCAGTTTGACATAATAAAACATAACCAAAAATCATAGAAAGTAAGGATGCTATGTTCATGGCTCCCTTATATTCTATGTCCTTTGTGATAACGAAAGTGCTGCCTCGTGTGTACGAAAAATTGTTTTTGAGCCAGAGTATAGCGAGAGTCTTCATAAATGAATGAAGAAAACACTGAAAATATGACTTAATCGGTACAAATATGAAAAAAACGGGACACTTATACGTCCCGACTTAAAAAAAAATAAAAATCAGCGGGACAATTTTCTCAAAATCGGTACTTTTCCGCCAAAATCGGTACGAATGGTCACCGTATGCATACCAAAGCAACGGCTCCAATATATGTATATATGTGCAAGTACAGGTGTATTAACATGCAAGGTAAAACACTATTCGAACTGACAATTTATGTGTAGATTTGTAATAATACATACATATGTATAAATTTAACGTTTTTTTTTCATAGCAAAAAAAATATTTCGGCACTATTTCGCCAGCCCATTTTGCACCAGGCGAAAGTAATTTGATGCACATATGTACATACATAGTACATACAAGTTTAATACCCTGCAGGAAAAAAATTTAAATTTATTTCTCAGAAACAGTTACCAAAATGTAATGTCAAGAACATTTACACAAAAGAGCCAACGGGGGAAAAAGTATTGAAAGCAGTTTTAAGGGAACAAAATGAGACCAAAGGATTCGGGAATGTTTCCGTAAAGAACAAGATGCGAAAATATGCATATGAATTGATAGTGAAATCCACAGAATTTTTTTTTAAGCAAATATTTAGGAGCACCGTTAATTTCTTCAAGATCCAACGATCAAAGCTAAACCAAATTAGTATGGAACCACCGTTGAGATACCACCGATATTCCAATGAATTAATAACCTTCCGCGTTTTTTTTTTTGAAGTCGGTTAAAAATAAATAAAATAAAGTAGGAGAAAATATTAGAAGCACCAAAGATTCACGCCTCCAAATTCCTTAAAAGGGCACATTCCGAAAAGCTGGACTTTCCAAGAGAGTAGCTATGTACATTTTCGAAGTTTGACTTTACAAGTAAAGGTAAACAAACAAACTCGCTCAACAAAAGCGGCAATTGTATCAGAATGTAGTGAAGTTTAGTTTTTTTCCTTATTTTTTTAGAGTAGGTAGGTAGTAATATTATTTACGACTTGTTTACATTTAACTCTACACGGTAGCTATCAATTTCACGAAATTTGTTAACATCACGTCAGTTTTATCGTTTTGCTAAATGTGAATATGCCTGGTGTGTTGACTGGTAACCTGATCCCGTCTAATTTCTTTCTAGGTCAAAGTAGAACGTGTGCCTCAACGTTGGAAGCATTACGACTGCGCGCTTGATACATATGTATGTTGATGTATAAATAAATATATTTATGTAATCCACACCACCAGATTGACTAATGACATTTACGTCGACGATATTGGCAAAGTGATAAAATTTCAATTAAGCTGACATATTTGCCCTTAATTTGAGGTGTGATGGCAGGCAGCCGACCATTCCGACACTTTCAATTTTTATTTTGAACAATTTACGGCGCATCTAATTCGCAAAAATCCACGTACATTTGTTTGTATAAAAAACATATGTTTCGGTGCACGTTCACTCCCAAAATAGGTAAAAATCGCCCAGGGGCATGATAACAAATTGAAAGCCATGTAAAGAGCTTTAAACGTGTTCAGGTACATATGTAAGTACGAGTCATTAAACAAGCACTACAAATAATGTATATATATAAGAAATTATTTTCAGTTTTATATATTTCTATCTGAGTAAAGAAGACTGCAGCACGTTGCGAAGGAGCAGGTCGTTTTCTTTAAAATTTAGACACCATCGTCCTTTTCACCCAAGATTTAATGAGGGATATGGCTATGTAAGTACATACAGATATTTATAAGAATAGAAAAATACAATGAGCAAAGAGATTATGATCAATTAATTCAAGAAAAACTTTAATTTCGATAAAGCACTCGAAAAATACGCGTAAACACAATTTTTTCGTAGTAGATTTACATTTTTCATTTTAACTTTCGCTTTCCCCGCTATTGAAAAATTTTCAATTAACAATTAGAAAACTTCACTAACAAGTTTAATGTACGAAAGCGTTTTATAGATATCTGAGGATCAGTTAAAAGTCAAAACACCATTTATTTCTGTGAAGTGGTTTCATTTGCAACATTTCCCAAAAATTTGTTGGATATTTTTTACATTGTTCGAACAACAGTAACAACAATTTCACTATAACCAAGATCGATAACTATGGCCAAGATTTTCCACTACAGGGTTAGGCGCTCGAAATTATACTAACTGAAAATGCTATTGTTTTGTCTAAATATTTTTTTTTTTTATCTACAAACATTAGTTCAACATAAAAAAACAAATTCAAATTTTAATAAAAATTTATTACTATTCGATGTAGCCACCTTTAGCGCGGCTAATAGCAACGATTCTGTTATGAATTTTTTGTTGTAGGTCAAAATTTTTAAGGGTCGCTTCAGGGCTTGAAAAAATTTAAATGTTTTTTAAAACCGAAAAAATTTATCAACATTTTGACTTTGACCAGATATAATTTAGGGTATTGAAAGATATTCATATAAATTCATAAACTCGTTGAGCTCCAGCTATGGAAAGTTGAAAACTTTGTAGAGCTTTTAAGATTTCAAAACAAGTAATTTTTAGGTAAAAACAATACTGCCTTCAATTCTCATATGAATATTTTAAAATACCAATAATTTCTTCATGATCTAATGATCTTTTCTAAACCAAATTAGTATGGGATCACATTTAAGATACTGCCTTTCCTAAAAAGAGGAAGTATAGAAATCGGTTAACGTGGTACAAAGTTATGCGGTAACATACATTAAAAAAAAATATATATATATTCCGAAGAATTGATAACCTACTTCTTTTTTGAAGTCAGTTAAAAATTCCATTTCAAGCCTTAAAATATTTAATTTTTAATTTTCATGGATATACATATTTATTGTGTGGTGATATTTTAAGGACCACCCTAATGCACCTCTTACTTAACAAAGTCAAAGTTTTAGTTGCTTTTGATATGTTTCTGATTGGCGGCAACAGTTTTTTATTCCAATTAGATTTACTTCCTCTTTGACTCAAAAAAAGCTTTCACAATTTAGTACTGTACTAGATACTCCTAAATTTTATCGGAAGAAATTAAGAATCTTTCAATCAATTTTTCGCTTTCGAACTCTCCAGAACCATACCTTTACGTGATTATTTAAAATTTAATAAACCCTTCGCCGCAATTGAAATTAATTCAGAATTAGTGAGCATTTAAAACGTATATCTTCAATTCCAATTCCGAGTCACCAAGTCTCTGACCCTTCAGCTAAATCCGCTTTTAAATTGCAAAACAATGTTGTGAAATATGTTATCCAATTGTAAATATTGTAAAAAGAAGATTAAAAAAAACGCGTCAGCCAGTCGGCAAAGTCAAACACCGCGCAAAAGATCAAAATTGTGTTTACTCAGCCGTGGTTGGACAGAAAGAAGGGTTCGTTCGCCCTCTTGTACATAAATGTGAATGTGTCTTTAAGTACATATTTGCTTGAGTGTTGTAAAAAGCTTTTGAAATGTTGACAACACAAGTGCGGCTGGGGTGAATTTCGCACGCAATATTTGTCAGGGAAGGTGGATAATTTTACACCCAACGCTTGCTCTTAAACGTGCTAAAAATTGCTGTAGCTAAGTTAGGGTGTTAAACGAAAACGTATGTATTTTAAAGTATTCTATTTAGTAAGACACTTTCTGTAGAAAATTTTTTATTCATCAGCACAGGCGGCAGTGGACGAAACTTTCGCGAGACGAGCTAAAATATATGTATTTATTATATGTGTATATACATTCATTCATTACTTTTATTCTGCTTTTGAAATCAAAATCATATTTGTAACACCTATGTATATACTCTTAAGAGTACAACGGTATTTTAAACGTACACGCACTTAAAGCTCACCTAATCCTTCCTTTTAAATATCTTTAAAAAAACATCACCATTTCAATGAATATACATAAATATTAAGATATTTGTGTTTTTAAATTTGTATATGCGTATGTGCCGTAAGTTGGCACTTCAGAGGCAAATGGCCCTCGAGAAATGACAACCATAACATTAATTACACTTGGCGGTGTAAAAGCTTTCGCCTACGCGCAAATGTACTATACCGTGCAGTACAACAACCAAGTGCGGGACTGGTTCTTAGGTTATGCAATTGCTGTGCTTTTTGCACCGGTAAAATCGTTGGCGCCAGTATACTTGTGAAACGAAGAAATGTGAAGTCACAACCCAGCGCTGTCTTAAATACCTTTGAGTAATATTAGACTCGAAGTTCTGCTTTAAAAAAAAACATCGATATGATGGTCCACATGCACAAAAACTGAGCCTAAGCTCAGACTCCATTATTGAACTAACGAGGTGATTTCAAGCTGAAGAATTTGTACTGAAAATTGAGTCGGGGCTTAAGCTCTATTTCCCTTTGACTGCCCTCGAGTTGACCGCTATTCAAAAAAAAATTATAATCTGTCATTTCTTAGCCACATTGTTGTTGTGACTAGAGGTCAGCGAAGATTTTACATGTGAGCTATTATCGCCAGGCTAGAAAATATGCAGTTTCAAAAGGGGCGGAGCAATGGACAGGGTGTTAGATGAGTGGGTTTGAGATGGCAACCTCTCGGTTGTTGGTATTATGAGTTCTTTTCTCACATTCCGAACGCGCATTCGGTACATATGTCCGTATCAGTTCCGCTAATTGGGAGTTTAGCATACTAAAGGCTCTACAACGCTTGCTTCCCTAGAAAGATGTAACGGTTTTTCGACGACATTTCAGAGCTTTCCAGAGATCGAATTGTGGCTTGGCTATCCGAATATAAATATAATTTCTGTCTGTAAGCCAGTTCTGAGCGGATCAGTCACTGACTAGCAACTGTCATAGCTGTAAGTTCACCTAGAAATAAGCTGCAAAGTGCTGGCATTCGAAGGCTCGGTGTAAGGGACGACTCTTCTCTTGGGAATATAAGTACTTCACTTCTTATGCTTTCAGGACCACATTTTCTTTTCATTTGCTCCTCTATGGAATTCTTGCCGTTTCAAAATCTCACTTAGGTAACGAGTGGTGCGGGTGCTCGAATTTTCCGGGACAGGTGTGCAGCATTTTTGAACGACCAAATCTCGATTTCTTTCTTATTCAGATCTTTAAAACTAACTACTGTAGGTCACTCCATTAGTATGACTGCATTAGGTGCATATTTACCACAAATCGACTTTTGACAACCGAAATAAAACTCAAAATAAAATTTTATCCAGATAGCCCGCCATTTTCTTTTTTTTCGATTCTTAAAAAAACGATCGTTAAAAATTTTAAATTTATCTGAATTTAGCAAAAATAAAAAATACTACTGTACCTGATGATGCGATAGCCGCAAGCGTATGGCATAATTTCCAAGCAAATCCGCTTCAAAGCAATTCAGGTGGAAAACTTTTCGCGTCATTACAAACAGGAAGTATACGCCGTGAAAATCAAAATTTGCGCTCAATTCAGAAATGATTTATGTAAGAAATTAAAACATTTCTCTGCTAATTTTTTCCTACAGAAAAAATTTTTTTGTGCAATTTCAAAAGATAAATAACACTTTTTGTATATAAAAATGCACATTCGTATTGTAAACATGCATATACATACTGTACATATGTACATATGTATATATCTATATATGCATTTGTATGTATGTATGTATGTATCTGCATGCATAAAATCAAATGTGGCATGTGAAAAGTTATTCATCAGTGCAGTAATTGGATTAGTCCGCTGTGTATGAAATAGAGGGCTGCATGAATTCATTTAAACTTCTAGCTAAACAGAGTACAATAGATTTGAATATTTTACTTCACATACAAAACACTCAGCGTTTGGAATTTTGTAAGTTATGAATATACATTTTGTTTTATATTTTCTACCTTCAAATGGAAGAATGTGAATGAATGAATAGAAAACATTCAAATTATCCAAACTCATTTCGGTAAGAGTTTTTTTCTACAAACAAGTTTTTTCGTATATAATGGGAGCGCAGCAATACATACATACATACCTATGTATGTTTGTACATATGTGCATAGAAAAAATATTTTTGGATATTCATACAAAAAATTGTCATTTATTTCAATTCAATTTATTTTCACATTGTTTGAATATTGTAATGTCGACACAAATCTCAGAACAGCTATTCACTCAAATTCAAAAAAATTAGAAGCCAAAATCATTCATGCGTTTTGTATATGAATAATTCATAAGCCGTTTTGAATGCATTCATGCAGCCCTCTAGTATGAAACCAATTCACTGACTTTAAACTTAGCGATTACACATTTCCATACATAGAGTGCATGCATGGAAGCGACATGACGTATGACCGAGTAAGGGAAAGGGTGGTTGTCACAAATGCACATTTGCACACATAATATGTATATATTAGGGCATTCAGTCCCGATATCCAGAATACCGAATACATTTCGTGCAAGAACTGTGTAAAAATGAAAAATCTGGTAGCAATTGAAAACACAACAATCTATTACAGTGTGACACAAGGAACATTAAAAACAGGTGGAAGCAAAATGTATTTAACACAGCGTGATTGAATTTGACATTGCTCTCAGAAGAACCATCCTACAAAGTCAAATTAAAAAAAAAATATGAATTTTGAATGCCAATTTGACGTCAAACTTTCAAAAGTCAAAGTTTTCGGGAGAGCAAAAATAAAAATAAGCGTGTGCAAGGAAAGATAAAAATATTACATTCCACTGGTTGTATTTATGCGCTTTGAGTGTGGCATACATATGTAGTTGTTCTTCATTGTACTTTGTTGACGTTTTGTGGAAATTAAATTTATGAAAATATGATGAAGTATTTTTTTTACAATTAATGTAGATATTAAAGAATACTATAAAAATATTTTAACATTAAATTACGGACCCTTTTACTACGGTGCATTATGCTGCGCGTAAGATCAAATGTGACGACAATGATTTGATTATTTAGGTGTGCCTACTGCAAAATGCAACGAATTGTGAAAGTCGAAAACCCGAAAAATCCCGTAATGCCGGGATACGAATTTTTTGCATCCCTAAATCCCGGGGTTGTTAAAACGTTTCGGGATTGAATTTCCTAGTATGTACATAACTATGTATGTATTTTAATATTTGCTTGAGTATTCCCTTTGGCACAGTTGAATAGCGCTGGAGTAAAAAAAAAACAAAGGTGCAGCTACATAACGGTTCATTGCTGATTGGGGTTAAGCAGTGTGTGTCGATGGGCTCCACAATCGTGATACTTGAGTTCCATAATTTAAATTAAAAATGAGTTGGAGAGTTGTATGTACGAACGGAAATTATGATATGTATTTGCAACTTGCAAAACATTGTTATAAAAGCAATTGAAATGGTAGTGCTCGGGTGGTTGTTGTTGTTGTTGTTGCTGGTGGTGGGAGTTCTTGCTGTTATCGAATAATTGAGTGTAGGATGAGTTTGTTGTTTTTTGTCTGCAATTTTAATTTAAATTTAATGTGTATGTAATTGTCATTTGCTCTAACAGATAACGAAGATTGCAAATTATTTATTTACACATCTGGTTATGCGCATACATATTTACATACATATGTAAGTTCATGCGGGTAGAACTACATAAGCCGTGTTTTATTTGCCCAGAAATTCAAGCTATTAGCTTATTTTGTATGGAGGACTTACCCAACATAATTATATTGGCTTATGAAAAGCTATCTTGGCTTGTATATTGAACAAGAGGCATTGCCATTCAGAAATTTTTTCCTTCAGCCGATCAGAAAGAGGCAAAAACTTACTTTGACACTATTTGCAGTCAAACAACTGTCAAAATTAGGCTAACATAGGAAGCAAGCTAATTTCGTTTTATTTGACCAAGATTTAGCTATTTGCTTGTGATGGTTGAATAAAACATGCCTATAGAAGATATTAATTAGAAGGGTGAAACCAAAAATATCCTTATTTTAAGGTAGACATATGTATGTACACGGCTTCATTGAACGACGCCATATTATACATTCATATTAAAACACCCCCCGTGCGTCCCCCACTGACTGACACGTAGTTTAACCTCCAAAACCCCCCCGCTGGATCCACCACTGCACTCCATACAAAAGGTGAAGGTGAAAGGAAAAGAAAGGCCTTTATGATGAGATTTTAGCTCCTGAAATTACCTTCTGGGTAGTACTTATGTATGATCCTTCAGCCGTGTACCCGATCACTTGCACTTGCACATTTTTGGCATTTGCTGAAAAAAATCGAGATTTTAACCAAATAAACTAAACAAAAAGAAGGTACGCTCGTCAGATATTCAACATGTTAGAAAAAACGTTTCGTTATCAATTTGACAGAAAGCTTAACCTTTTTTTTCATAGCAAAATCAGGACAATTTAAGTGTGGACCAGGACACCAGGACAATTTGTCTAAATCAGGAAAAATCCTGGAAAACCAGGATGTCTGGCAGCCCTATTCTACATACATGTGTATCTGTTCCCAAAAATAATTTAAATTTCATCTTTCGTTTCTGACTGACGTGCCTCAGATGTTGAGCATATCGGCACCTGAGTGGAAGATCGACCCAGAAAACTTTTCAAAAACGTCCTATTTCAGAATTTGATTGAAAAACGCCCTATCTCAGAAAACTTTTCAAGAAAACCCTATTTCATAATTCGCTTCAAAAGCGCCCTATCCCAGTTGCTGATTCAAAACTGTCCTATACCAACATATTTTCAATATATATTCCGTTGAGATAGGGCATTTTTCAATCGAATTCTAATATAGGGCGTTTTCAACTAATGTTTCGATATATAGTTGCTATATTTCCTGTGGATTCTTTAATTTTAATTTTTGTATATTTCACGTGACGGTTTTAAAGATCTGTATTGCTTTGAGTTTTATATTAGTTTCGAATTTAACTCTGTTCCGCCTCGAATTGTGTTCCACAAATTTCTTCATTTAGCAAATATTTGCTTAAGATTTCATTGCTATCTTTATGTATATATATGTATATGTGAATAGTTTACATCGCTTTTAGAGCTTTACTTTGCCTTCACTTCTTATAATTACTTCCTGTTTTTGCCTTGACTGTTCCTAAGAATGATTTGGATATCAAATATATAGTATATGTTTGTACATATGTAGTAGCAATGTAACGATGTTGTATAAGCATTTATAATTTTGCATACTAAAGTATATTTAATTGCATAACCCTTTCATTAGAACGCATTCAGACGCTCAATTTGAATAGAATTGCCATTTTACTATGTAGGTATATCTGTTCTTTAAGTGTCAACTGCTGTTCCGACTTAATGACTACTCAACCGTAAAGGAAATCGATAATTAAGATGTAACTGAATGCTTACGGAAAAATAAATAACAAAGAACAGCTATAGTTCAGTTTATTTTTGGTGGTTTATTTTTATGGTTTTACTTTTTTTTACAGATAAGTCACTAACTGAAGTGCTTATGGATAAGTTTGAAGAGTTGCACTCTGGAGCGTTGTTTCCTTGTTGCAGTGATAGTTTGACTGCGATAGAGGAATGCATAAATTAACATTGTTATCGATAAACATTTTGACTTCGATAGCGGTGAGTTACAAGTTATCATTGTTATATAGCATTTTCAGTTTAAATGAAACCATTTTCAAATTAAATGGAACCTTTTTCAGATAAAGCGAAACCTTTTTTCAAATTAAATGAAAATGAAATGAAATGAATGAATCGTTATCGACGCCATGCATATAACAGGAAGTCGATAACGCCGATTATGATGTTTAACTCGGAGAAAGTATTAACCCGACATGATGCAAGCGGCTCTAAATCATAGTTTATGAAATTAATGAAGAGGTTGTCCATTCACCGCTTTCGGAAATTGGATGATCTCGTCCATAACATAGTTCGTTCGCACAGTAATTTTGACTAATTAGTGCCATACTTTCCTCAATTACACTAACTATGTATGTTGCTCTCAGTAATTGTGTCACTTAATAATGAGCGGGCATGGAGTTTCACCTTCAAAAATGCCTTTTCTATGGGGTTTAACATAGGAGAACATGCTGGCAAAAATTTCGGTGATCATCCAATGTTATCCAGCTCTCTTATAAATTTCATTCTGGCTACGCCCATGGGACAACTTGCAAGTAAGGGCGCTGGGGCATTCCCCCAACCTAGCTACGCCCATGATCAGAGTTACAAAATTCATTTTTAGTTAAGGATAATGCCAGAATTCATAAGTCCCAAGAAATAAGACATATGGTGGATAATAATGGATGCTTACAGAAAATGTAGCCGGTAGATGGCGCGGTCGAAATATTTCGAAAAATATTCCTTATTGACACATCGCTTTCAGCTATACAGCCTGATGTTTTTGCTAACCCAACAAATTCTTTGTCACTTTACGTAAAAAAAAATTAAATTATCCTACTCTTCTCAGCGAACCTATGAAAATAATTTAACATGAATTTGATTTATTTCATTAACACGAACAATAAGGCATAAACAATTTTTCATTTGTTTTTTTTTTTTGTAAATTAAATCGGTTGCCTATTATAAAAATTGATAAGAGAAAGTATGATTAACGCGCATAGTGTGATGCAAGTATGAATGTTTCTATACGAAAATACATAGACGATAATTGGCGCTAACTAATTTATTATAATCCAAATTGGCCGCATAAAGATTTGCAAATTGCTTTAGCTACGCCTCATTGCTGGAACTTGGAGCTGATAACTTTATTTAAAATATTTTTTTTTGCTTGTTTAATTGGCTGTTTATATGTACATATGTATGTAATTATAATTTCTTAGCGCCTTTTATTTTTATAACATATATGTGTGTACATATGTATGCACATAATTATTTGTAATCAATGTCTAGTAGTTTCAATTTAGCACAAGGTCTATAACAACATTCATAGGAAAGTTTTTATATAAATATGTACATACATGCATGTGTACGAATACATATGAGGCCATGAGAGCAGAAGTGGCCTAACCCAAAAATTTTTTTTATACTTTCCTATTTAAAATAGCCTGAAATGTGATAAACCTTGAAAGGAAGGTCGCTTATTTCCTAATTTAATGGAACGCTATATAAACTTCTGCCTTAATATTAAGGAATAAGCGTTTTTTATTTTAAAATTTTATCATATTTGAGACAATTTACGTTAGGATGGACCGAAAAAATTAATTTTATAAATATTAAATTTAAATTATATAAATATGTAAGGAGGTATATAAATACATGCATGCATTCTTTAGATGAATCAAACAAGACGAGTGTGACCAGATGAACACAAAAACTAAAGTTAAATTGACTTAAAAAAGGTTAGAAGAAGTTAGAGTAAGTGAAAACAGAAGCTTAAATGAATCTTATGCCGAAAAATTTAACAGCACCTCTACAAATTCAAGTTGACGGTACTCGGACGGTTTAAATTTTCCTGATTCCGAATAACAGAGCTAATGGAAAGTCTTCCAAAGAGAAGGGCTTACCTAAAAATCCCTATCTAAAAGTGTCGATTAATAAAAACTTCTTAGTTTGCCGACTGGTTTTATAACAGAAGTAACATAAGTAGTTGCATATGATTTGCTGTTAGAATTTCCAGCTTCCTCTCTTAATGAATGCAAGTTTACATACCGTGTTAATTAAATTAAACACTGCTAGTTTACTTTTACTTATAATATGTGTGGCGTAGAACAGATTTCTAACTTGTTTTTTGAATTCTAAACATTTATTGTTCACAAAATCACAGTTTACACATAAAATGTTTAAAATTTGTTCTAAAAAAATGTTTTTTAAATTTACGCATATAACGAGAGGTA